AGTTGGCATCTCTAGATTTGGGGTATCGAAGTGTATAGGCTTGGCTTGTTTTCAATACCGAAGTAGCTTGAATTAGTCAAGTTGCTGAAGTTGGGTTTTGTGGAAATAATTTTGTTCTCTGCCTATTCCAAACATTCACTAGCTCTGCTTGACTTCTGGACGAATTTAATGAACCATTTTGAGCTGCTTATAGCTGAAGTATGAGTGTAAATTGAAGATTGTTTTCTTTTCCGACCTACTTTTTTGGTTTATATAGTTTTGTCAAGTGATTTCATTGTTATTGCTCTCCCAGGAGAGTGAACTTTCAAGAATAAGTCTTCAAGGACTTGCATTATGTTCAGAAGCATAGGAGTTTTAGGATGTTCGTTTTATCTTCAATTGGTTTTTCAGTAGGGTGATAGTACAAAAGATTCTGGAAAGATTAGAATATTAGCTCACTACAGCGTAGCTCAACAGGTCAAGGCGTATACCCTCGACTAAGAGGTCAAAGGTTCGAATCGCTCCACTCCATATGTTATTAAGCTAAAAAATATTCTACCAGAAAATCTATTTTTTCTTTTCAATATTGACATTCCAGCAAAATCCTGACCAGATAGTTAATAATTGTTGACATTAGGAGTTCCAAGTTAATAGGGCCTTGTTTGATAACTTTTATGAAATTACCTCCGGAACATGAGCAATTATCAGCAAGAGAAATACAAAAAGACGAGAAAAGAAATAACATAGTGTTGTAGTGGTTCGGATTATGGAAGGGGCCTAGATTTCATACATATTTACTTTTTAGCATGAGGTTTGGCTTTACCCGTAAACTGAAAGGTCAAAAGCTTGTATATTAATTTTGAATGATTTTTGACAGGTGGTTTCTGCTCTTGCTGTTGACCACACTGGGTCTAGAGTTCTTTCTGGTAGTTATGACTATACGGTACGTATGTATGACTTTCAAGGGATGAATTCTCGTTTGCAATCCTTCAGACAGCTGGAACCATTTGAAGGTCACCAAATTCGTAATCTTAGCTGGAGCCCATCTGCTGACCGCTTTTTGTGTGTGACGGGCTCAGCTCAAGCCAAGGTGCAGAATGAAGATTTTCAATTCTTGTACGAGCCTGTAGCTTATGGAAGTGTCTAGTATTTAACTAACGTTCATCTTACTGGCATTTCAGATTTATGACCGTGATGGACTTACTCTAGGAGAGTTTATGAAGGGTGATATGTATATACGTGATCTCAAGAACACTAAAGGGCACATATCTGGACTGACTTGTGGAGAATGGCATCCTAAAAATAAAGAGACGATTTTGACATCATCAGAAGATGGATCCCTGCGAATATGGGATGTAAATGACTTCAAAAGTCAAAAGCAGGTTGTCATTTTTCTCTAACTATTTCTGTTTCATTCTTCCTTGCCATTGCCGATTTGTAATGTATGCTGCTGAGGGTGTGGAACGGATCAAGACCTTTCATTTATGCTTGCGGTAAATCAATGTGTAGGTTATCAAACCAAAGTTGGCTAGGCCGGGAAGGATTCCAGTGACGACATGTGCTTGGGATCGTGAAGGAAAAAGCATCGTGGGTGGCATGGGTGATGGTTCTATTCAGGTCTCATTGATTTTCATCCCGATTCATTTCTCTTAGCACTTTACTTCAATGCTCCAAACTACATTTTAATTCTTGCTTCCCCCATATGGAGCTCTCTGTATTCTCGTCAGTTTCGTTCAGTTTGTTTTAAATTTACTTTGCCATCATATGCATTATCATCCTTGCTCTATGTTTTTGCAGATATGGAACCTTAAGCCTGGATGGGGAAGCAGGCCAGACATACACGTTGAAAATAGTCATTCGGACGATATCACTGCTCTTAAGTTTTCAAGTGATGGGACAATTTTACTGTCAAGAAGCCTTGATGGATCACTGAAGGTACGTCGTCAATGCATTTAGAGAATTCACTTTCACTTGTTTCTTTTTGTTCATTTGGCAACATCCTTCCTACTTATAATTGTATCCCGTTTCTCAGGTTTGGGATTTGCGCCAGATCAAAAAACCTCTCAAGGAGTTTGATGATCTCCCAAATAACTATGCCCAAACAAATATTGCATTTAGTCCTGATGAGCAACTCTTTCTGACTGGAACATCTGTCGAGAAAGAGAGCCAAACGGGCGGTCTGCTCTGCTTCTATGACAGGACAAAGCTGGAACTTGTTTCTAGGGTAGGGATATCCACTACTAGTGTTGTGCAGTGTGCTTGGCACTCAAAGCTAAATCAGGTAAGCTACTCATCATGTCGCATGAAATATTTTATATTCGTATTATTTTATAGTTTAAAAACGTGCGTGGTGGGCTCCAACTCGAGCATAGTTCAATTAATTAAGGCATTGTACCTTCAACCAGGAAGTCAGAGTTTTGAATATTCACCGTTACATGTGCTTGAAGATATATGTTTTATCCCGTGACCTAGAAGATACAGACATATCATCTTTTGGACTTACAAGCACACTAAATATGATGTCATTGAAGCTTACTCTTGTTTGATTTCTTTATCGTGAAATTGATTTCATTCATGATTTCAAGATGTATTTAACCTAAATCTTTGCTGAACATCGGCAATCTGTCCCGATGTGTAATGGCATTTTTCCATGGTGAACTGCCATGTTTCATCCCCAATATAGCCCCAAAACATTTTCCTATGCATGGATGGTTGTACTGGGGACAATTTTCTGTTCACATGTACATAAATATTTTAACGTTTGCACTCTGTATTTATGTTGTGCCCGAGCTAGGTCGATGCCAATAGAGGATGTCGTATTATTTAGTTTAAGATCTTTTCTACTCTGCAAGTTGTAACAACGCTATTTATTTTTCTTTTTTTGTCAAGATATTTGCTACTTCTGGAGACAAAAGCCAGGGAGGAACTCACATATTGTATGATCCAACACTAAGTGAGAGAGGAGCTCTAGTTTGTGTTGCCCGTGCACCAAGGAAAAAATCTGTTGATGATTTTGAGGCCAAACCTGTTATTCACAACCCGCATGCCCTGCCTTTATTTAGAGACGCACCGAGCCGAAAGCGACAGCGTGAGAAAATACTCAAGGACCCACTTAAGTCTCATAAACCCGAACTCCCGATTACTGGACCAGGCTTCGGAGGAAGGGTTGGTGTTACCCAAGGAAGCTTATTAACCCAGTATCTTATGAAGGTAACTGTCTTTCATTTTTCTTCAACTCAAATCACAGCTTTTTTTAGGGGAAAAACACAGCCTTTTGTACTCTGTTTGCTGTTGGAGCTGGGAATGAATTGATTGTCTTGCATCATTATAGCAAGGAGGCATGATTAAGGAGACATGGATGGAGGAAGATCCAAGAGAAGCCATTCTGAAGTATGCTGATGTTGCAGCAAAGGATCCAAAGTTCATTGCACCTGCGTATTCGCATACTCAACCTGAACCTGTTTTTGCGAAGTCCGATTCCGAGGAGGAAGATAAATGATCTTATGCGATGCTTCTTCTCCTTGGGTTTGCTTGGCAGCTGTTGGGAGATGAAAAATTGAAGATGGTTGACTGCTGTAGATCCTTCGGCTCACGACGGGGTTCGAGTTTTGCCAGTCCCAGGTTCGATTTCATATAACAGCCTACTGTTAACAAGCAGTAGGAATTTAGGGTTGTTCCATTTTTAACTGTTGTAAGAAATGAGCTACAGAAGAGTGTATTCCTTGTGTACATTATTTGTGCAACACCATTGTCGTAGCTAAAAATATACAAGTTTGAGATGAATTTTTAAATGGTGATAGTTTTTTGTTTTTATATAATTTAAAGTATTTGGTTAAAAGTGAGTTTGAAAATTCTATAAATAATTTGAAAACACAATTATCTTTTTTGGGTTAAATTCTAAATTTGACCAATTTCTGATTTTTTTTTTTAAAATGTTTATTCTTTAATTAAGGCATTATAATAACTGATAATTGCATTACGTGTGTAATTATATGACGGCATCAATCAGACAATCTGGAATCTTTATGAATCTTTTATTTTACGTTTTTTTTTAAATTAACATAATAATAACAAATAGATTCTCCTACTTTTATTTTTTATTTTTTTTAATGCATAGTAAAATTATAATTTTGAGTTTCTTATATTATATTGAATTGAAGTAGTCTTTTTCTATAATTTCTCCTAAAACAGATATACAGTAATAATCTCCGGTTTGAACTTTTAACCCTAATGTGTAATATTTACTTTTTATTATAAAAAATTATAATGTAATATTATACAAACTAAATGATAACGCTTCATCCATCTTGTCTTACATTAAAGAGCATAAAACCATTATTGTGATATCTACATCGGTTGTAGAGGAGAACGAAACACTCTTTATAAGCGTGTGGAAACTACTTTGAGGAGAAGCTCGAAAGGAACGGACTTTGTGCCAGAGAGAAGGCTATTTTCTAAAAAGGGTAGACACGAGGCTATGTGTTAGTAAGGACACCAAACCCCAAAGGGGGATTTGGTAGAGGTATAAGTGTCACTGAAGAAGCTGAGGAGGCTGTGCTCCGAAGGAATGGATTTGATGGAGGTCCCACCTTGATTGAAGGAAGAGGTGGATCGCAAAATGCAAGGGAGAGGCTGAGAACACCCTTCTATTTCTCAAAGAATTAGTATATTTGTGACAATTGCTTCTACCACTTCAATTTTGTTTAAGACGTGTGGTTGCACAATTAAGAATTGGAAACTTGTAATTCATGCATCACAAAATTTTACCATATTTTGAGAAGCTTCCTGTCCAAAATTTGTGCCAATTGCTTCTACCAGTTAGCTTCAAAGATGGGAGTCCGGAGTTACTTGTTATACTGGCACCTCCTATTATCGGGGATCTGCTTAAAGCAGCTTCCTAAATTTGGAATCCTCAAATCTCTCAACCATACTCATTCCACTTCCTTTAGAATCTCTACCTCTTATATAAACTTCCCATTTTCTCCCATTCCAATTCGCCCTCTCCTCCTCCGCCGCCGCATATGACAGAAATAGCCTGCTCCACAGCCGACCTCCGCCACCTCCTTAGCGGCTCAGCTAATGCCACTGCTGTCGCCGATTACATTTGCGGTCGATTCGACGCCATTTCAAGTAAATTTGTGGACACAAGTTATGCTGTTGACAACACTTACCTTCTTTTTTCAGCGTACCTTGTCTTTGCAATGCAGCTTGGATTTGCTATGCTTTGTGCTGGTTCTGTTAGAGCCAAAAATACAATGAATATTATGCTTACTAATGTTCTTGATGCTGTCACTGGCGGCGTATTTTATTATATCTTTGGATTCGCTTTGGCCTTTGGAACTCCTTCTAATGGCTTCATTGGTCATCATTATTTTGGCCTCTCGCAGTTCCCTTCTTCCTCCTTTGATTATGGGTTCTTTCTGTTTCAATGGGCTTTCGCCATTGCGGCTGCTGGGATTACCAGTGGCTCCATTGCTGAACGGACCCAATTCGTTGCTTATTTGATCTATTCCTCTGTTCTTACCGGTGAGTCCGATTCATCACGGTTCATTTGAATTGGATATCAACAAAATTGACAGATGGTTTCCTTTTTCAGGTTTGATTTATCCAATCGTCTCTCATTGGTTTTGGTCTGCCGACGGGTGGGGCAGCGCAAGTAGGTCGGAGAATCTTCTATTTGGATCAGGAGTAATCGACTTCGCCGGCTCCGGCGTGGTCCATATGGTGGGTGGCATCGCCGGATTATGGGGCGCCGTCATTGAAGGCCCTCGAATCGGCCGGTTCGATCACGCCGGCCGGTCCGTCGCCCTCCGTGGCCACAGCGGCACATTAGTCGTTCTCGGCACTTTCCTTCTCTGGTTCGGCTGGTATGGCTTCAACCCCGGGTCGTTCCTTAACATCCTCAAAGCCTACGGCACTACCGCCGCCGCTCCCTTTTACGGCCAATGGAGCGCCATTGGTCGCACCGCCGTCACCACCACCCTCGCCGGCTGCACGGCGGCACTAACCACCCTCTTCGGCAAACGACTCCTCGTCGGCCACTGGAATGTCACCGACGTCTGCAACGGCCTGTTAGGCGGATTCGCTGCCATAACATCCGGCTGCGCGGTGGTGGATCCATGGGCGGCGATTGTTTGTGGGTTTTTCTCCGCCTGGGTTTTGATCGGATTCAACAAACTAGCGGAGAAATTGAAGTATGACGATCCGTTAGAGGCGGCGCAATTGCACGGCGGGTGTGGAGCTTGGGGGATTTTGTTCACTGGCTTGTTTGCAAAACAGGCTTATGTTAACGAGATTTATTCTGGGTTGCCGGGCCGCCCGTACGGGCTGCTGATGGGTGGTGGCGGAAGGCTGCTGGCGGCTCATATAGTGCAAATTTTGTCGATTGTTAGTTGGGTTAGCGTGACAATGGGGCTGGTATTTTGGTTGCTGCATAAGTTTCAGTTGCTGAGAATCACGGCGGAGGAGGAGATGGCCGGCATGGACTTGACAAGCCACGGCGGATTGGCTTATGTGTATAATGATGAAGAGAAGCCGTACGTTTGAGGGGACAAGGAAGAACAAGACTTTGATTTTGTGGCATAGATTGTGTTGTAGATGTGGTTTTAATTGTAATGGCTTCTTAGTTGATTTGTTCATGTCTGGATGCTTAGTGCTACTTTTGTATAGTTTGATTGATTTTATCAATCATAGTTATATATTAATATATTTGTCATATATTCGTTAATGCATTATGTTGTCAGTTTTTAATTTAAAATTTGTTATTTAAATTTAATAATTTGTTTCAAATAATCGGCTATTTTTTTTAATATAGGGTCTGGATTTTTTAATGTGTATGAGATGTGATGGGGACGACTTATTTTGCTTGGTTGAGAACTTTAAATGGAGTTTACTGTTGCAGAATCAGAAAGTCGACGGCAATGGAGTTTTGGACCTGCATCCTCTGTCTATGTGTTGCGTTCTTCTTCATTCTGAAACTTAAATCGAAGACGGGAAATACGTCGAAGCTACCTCCGGGACCAAAGCCTCTTCCGGTGATCGGAAACCTCTTGGATCTTGGTGAGAAGCCTCACAAATCGCTCGCCGCCATGGCCAAAGTACACGGCCCTATTATGAGTATGAAACTCGGACGAGTTACAGCCGTGGTGGTTTCTTCTTCCACCATGGCTAAAGAGGTCCTACAAACGAACGACCAGTTTTTGTGTAACAGAGCCATTCCAGATGCACTCAAAGCTCACGCCCACGACGAGGTCGGGTTTCCATGGATTTCTGTTTCTCCTCTATGGAGGAACTATCGCAAAATATGCAACAACACTCTGTTCGCCGGAAAAATTCTGGACGCGAACGAGAATCTTCGCCGGAGGAAAGTGGAAGAGCTCGTTGAGATTGTCCGTAAAAGCGCGTCAAAAGGCGAGGCAGTAGATTTAGGGAGATTATTGTTCATGACGACGTTGAATCTAATCTCAAACACAGTTTTCTCGGTTGACTTAGCAGATCCGAATTCCGAATTAGCAAGGAAGTTCAAGAACTACGTATGGGGAATATTGGAAGAAGCCGGGAAACCAAATTTGAGCGATTACTTCCCCGTGTTGAGGAAGCTCGACATTCAAGGGGTAAGGAGGAGAATGAAGATTCAAATGGGAAACGTCTTGGATCTTATAGATTCAATGATCAACCAGAGGATGAAGCAGCAAGAACTGAATCCAGATTCTGTTCCCAATAACGATATGTTACACCACCTTCTTAAGAACGAGGACACCGACGCTAAACTCGATCGAAATCAAATAGAACATTTACTAGTCGTAATACCTCCGCATCCCCCCTCCCCCCGATTAGATTCTTAGATCTATTATGAAATTGAAAGTTCCTCTTATGCGTGGTTTTTCTAATTTGTGCAACAAAAACAAATTAGGTACTGTTCGTGGCCGGCTCGGATACAAGTTCAGGGACATTACAGTGGGCAATGGCGGAGCTATTGAAGAATCCAGAGAAACTAGCAAAAGCTCAAGAGGAAATCAGGCGAGTTTTGGGGAAGAGCAAACCAGTGGAGGAAGCGGACATTCCGAGGCTGCCATATCTGCAAGCAGTGGTGAAGGAAGTTTTCCGATTGCATCCAGTGGTACCATTGTTGCTACCTCGTAAGGCGCAACAAGAAGTGGAAATTGCAGGTTTCACAATCCCTAAAGATGCACAGCTTCTGGTAAATACATGGGCGATGGGAAGAGATTCGAGTGTCTGGGAGAATCCAGAATCGTTCGAGCCAGAGAGGTTTTTGGGATCGGAAATTGACGTCAGAGGGCGGAGCTTCGAAGTGATTCCGTTTGGCGGAGGGAGGAGGATATGCCCTGGACTGCCATTGGCGATGAGAATGCTGCATTTGATTTTGGGTTCGCTCATTAATTTCTTCGATTGGAAGGTTGAAGATGGATGTGAGGTGAACATGGACGACAAATTTGGGGTCACCGTGGAGATGGCCCATTCACTCAGAGCCATCCCATCCCTAATCGTTTAGAATAATTCCATAATTGCTACGTGTTTGGCCTAGACTCATTGGGCTTGATTGGCCCAATAGACTGATTCGCATGTGGTCGTCCTTGGGCCCACTATACTCATGGTTTCTTTCCTTTCGAGTCCATAGGGTATTCAACCTCTAGGCTTTTTTAAATTATTATTTTTAGTATGAAAATATGTAGAATTGAATTATGTTTAGGTCAATATTTTAATTAAACAACTAAGTGCTGGAAAATACAAATAATCGTTCTAATAAAAATTTCTCACTCCAATCAAATCCAAAGTTATTTACATTTTTTTTCATTTTCTTAAATTGAGATGGTAGTTGAATATTAATTAAAAATAAATTAGTTTTGATATATACATTAATTTATGTATAATTATCGTTTAGGTAATAGAAAAAGAAGTTAAATGAGATTCTTAATTATGTTTTAGGTGGATCCAAACGAGTTAAATGAACATTTCTGAAGCACAATTCTATTAGGAGTAAGCTCAAACATCTCAAACGTCTAGATAATAAGGAAAAAACAAAAAAAAAAACTCTCCATTCTTGATTTTACTTATTTAACCTTCTATCTTGTATTTTATAATATAACATTTCATAAACAAAAAGAAATCAAAATGTTGTTAGTGTTATATATTCTAGCTGAAGACTGAAGTCTCCTGTAGTCCTATGAATATTTGGCCAAAAAGAAAAGAAAAGAAATGACGTAGTCAAACGAGTCTCTAAATTGTCGTTTCATTCACAGTGTTGGGAACACGGAATGTCCGCATCGCGTGGACCAGAGAGACCATCAATTGATCGCCCTTTTGCAAAAATAGAAAAGCAGTGGGTTTGCAGCACAGTAGAGTGTTGTTGCCATGTAATAAAGTTCCTTACCCAGCTCCATCGTCTCTCTCTCTCGCTGTCTCCTCTGGTTCGATTTCTCTCTCTCTCTCTCTCTCTCTCTCTCTCTCTATACTCTCTCCTAAGATCTTCCACTCCCCTTTTCGCCATTTTTCTATCCCTAAAAGTCCCCGCTCTTTTTTTTTTTTCTCTCCTCCTTGTAAAGTGATGTTTTTATACTCTTTCTTCTAGATCCTCGACCGCATTTCATGGATCTGTAAGCCATATATCTGCATTGCTTCGTCCTGCTTCTGCCGTTTCGTTTTCTCTCTCTTAGGGTTTTTTGTTGTCATGTTTTGGTTTTGTCTTTGAGGTGAAGTGGGGGAATTGGTCGGGTTTCTTTTGAGTGGTGTTGAGCCATGTAGTGAGGATTTGGAGCTCGCATTGTGTCGGGGGAAATTGTTGATGGCGAGTTCTTCACCGTATCCCCTGCGAGTGTTTTCTTTGGCAGATTTATGTTGAGGTGGTTGAGCTTGTTGTTTGCGATGGCTACTGATGATGATTCTTTCCTCTGAAATTCGCTCTTTGGACACAAAATGCCTTTCTCGATTGCGCACCTTCTTCTGGTTCTTCATGCGGCCAATTTGGTTTTTTCTTGCTCAGGTACTGTGCATTTACTTTTTCGACTTGATTTTGTTGAACAAGTGCATAAAACTCTGTTAGTTTCTGTGTAAAAGAGTCATTCGCAAGATTATTCTTAATCCCGACCAAACAATTAGACCATCGAGAAACAGTTCATTTACACCACAATGTTTGTTTTTAGCTATATCTTATATCCGACAGTAGACACGACATTCAATTTACTACTGATTTTTTATGCATTTTGCTAAATACAACATTTAAATCACTTGTCGCGAGCTTTGTTATTATTATTAGAATCTGGATTGTTTGACCCTGTATCAGAATATAGAATGTACTGAGAGTTACCTATTTTCTCGGGTTTCAGGACAATCTTCACCACACATATACTTATCTCCTTCCTTAGAGCCAAACCTGGAAACAACAATGGCAGAAATGTCAACAGAGCATGGTATAGTGGTTTCTACTTGGAATCAACTTCTCTTGTTCGACGAACATACATTCATATTCCAATTTTGGTATAAATCTATGATAAGTGCCCAAATGTATTCAAATGTATAGTGATGTAACCTGTTTTTGAACTAATCAGACCCATCAATTGTCCAAACTCTTGAGTTGGAATATTTTATGCATTTTTTTTTTACCTTTTGATTATGGTTTATAGTTAATGGAAGACACTTCTGTTAGAAAGTAAAAAGTGAAGCTAAATCTTTCATGTTAATGATTATATTGTCATATGTTTTTATGTCAAGGAGTTCATCTTATTAGCTCTACCAACAAACTTAATTCTTCTGGTTTCAACTTCAGTTTCTCGTGTCTTCTCTTAAGTTGGTTTCAACAACTTAAAGAAGAAAATGTAAATTAACTTAGTCAGTGCAGTTGGTGGCATTAACAGTGCCTTGAGTTTGGTTTGTAATTGGATAAATAGTTAATTAACTATAGATTGAGTACAAGACAATGTTTATGAACTAGGGATGTGGAATTCAAGTAAGGTAGTAGGCATGAGTCTATTAGCATAAGGAGCGGCCGAAGCTATATCATCATATATCATCAGTGATCAATATATTCATTCTGTTTATCTGATCATTTGGTGGTTCTTTTTGAGTGTTTAATTTACCCTTGGTGGGAACAGTTCTCAAATTCTATACAATTTTCTTTTTCTGGGACTACAGTCAGTAGGAATGAAACTAAAGGGTAATAGTGAAAATTTCTACACTGGTAATCCCTTTTTCACTCATTTTAATTGTTAACAATTCATGGTCTTCCCTTTTTCTATGGGTGCACATGGCTCCCTCATTGCAGTAAGTTCAGAGCCGATGAGTTTTTCATTTGTGCCCTCAAAATTACATGGTAACTGGATGTTTAAGCCATCGTCAGGACCATTGACTGCTCCTGCACCTTCTCCAGGTATAAAGGAAATGTAATAAATTCTCCACTGTCCTCTGTGTTGCTATTACTTACTGACTCTACCTTTTGTAGGTCCTATAGTTGCACCTTTACCTATCCGACATCATCGATGGCGTCGTAAACGACCTCATGTGGTTGCTCCTACCCCGTCAAAAGATCAAGGTAAAGTTGGGGATTTATTTATTCAGTGGTCAATTATTTACCCAAATGGGGAAACTGTATGACCTCATAGTACATGATTGCCAGGTGACGTTTCTTTGATTCTAGGCTCCTGATCCACATTTTTTGTTACTGCTTTTAGGCTACTGAAATGCTTGTTCCTTTTGCTTGATAAATGGCTCCATCCATTCCATTTCCTGCTAAATAAACAGGTTTACCGAGCCATTCCCGTCTGTTAAGCATTTTCTTCAATATGAGATACTTAAGAGCTGGATTTTGGCTGTGAAACTAAATTGTTTCAATTCAATATCATGCTATCTTTGAATAGGTTTCTAACATTTGACATTATGAGGTGATGGTGATCCACTTAAACTTGTGCCCTCCTTATCAAAGGAGTTTTGGAACTTTACATCTTTCATCGTCTAGGACAATGATTATTAGCTTTCAAGTTGTAAATCTTCTTTTATGAAATTCTTTGTACTAAATATTTTTGAACATGGACTTGAAAGGTTGTGATCAAATATGCATGGAGCCTCTTACTGCGGCACCCTTTGGTTCACCTTGCGGCTGTGTATTTCCCATGAAAGTCAGACTTCTTCTGGATATAGCTCCATATGCTGTTTTTCCTGTGATGAACGAGCTTGAAATTGAGATTGCAGAGGGGACTTACTTGGAGCAAAGCCAAGTGAAAATCATGGGTGCAAATGCAGATAGTCAAAATCAGGGAAAAACTGTGGTGGAGATAAATTTAGTGCCTCTGGGAGAGAAATTTGATAATACCACTGCAGTACTGACTTACAGAAGATTTTGCGATAAAAAAGTGCATCTAAATATGACGCTTTTTGGTGATTATGAAGTTGTGTACATCAGCTATCCAGGTAATAACTTCAACATTTTTTCTCTGCTTTTGTTAACATCCTCCTCTCAGTAAATTTTGAGAATAAATAAGCCATGATCAGGGATTCCTTCTTCACCGCCATATGGAGGTTACATGGGAAGTGCTCCTAGTGGAAGTGCTGGAGATCTTCCCATTACTGCAAATTTCGTTAATAAGAGCCAGAAGATGAATGTTAAAATAATTGCCGTCATAGCACTTTCAGCATTTGTTGTGTTATTGGTGTTCATTGGAGCTCTTTCCATCTTTTTTAAATGGAGAAAGGTTGGCAGACCGTCTAGTGCTGTTGGCCCTGTCTTCACGTCATCAATTAACAAAAGATCTGGTGAGTCTGTAGATCCTGATCTCATAGCTATCACAAGGATCTTTCCTCAAGTATTGTTCAAGTATGAGCTGTTCATTCTATGAGCTATCTGGAAAGCCCTATTAATTTTTCCTGTAATACTGCTCTAGATGATTGCATTTGAATTAATGCAGGTCTAGGATCAGCCTTATCAAGTAGCATTGCTTGCTCCACATCTGTTTCCCTAATGTCCACGATGCCAACCAGTATTCAATCTGTTAAAACATTTGCACTTTCTGAACTTGAGAAAGCAACAGATAAATTTAGTTCGAAAAGGATTTTAGGCGAAGGGGGATTTGGCCGGGTTTACTTTGGTCTTCTGGAAGATGGAAATGAAGTTGCGGTTAAGTTGCTTACACGGGATAATCAGAATGGAGACCGTGAATTTATTGCGGAAGTTGAGATGTTGAGTAGACTGCACCATCGGAATCTTGTGAAACTGATTGGGATATGCATTGACGGGCGAACTCGCTGCTTAGTTTATGAGCTTGTCCATAATGGAAGTGTTGAGTCCCACTTGCACGGTATATTTCCCATATCACCTACGAGTAGGCCTTTTGGGCGTTTGTTAACGTTTCTTCTATGTACTGCTGATAGATGTCTCCATCTCCTATACATGGTTTGTTTGATGAACTTTGGTCTCATTGCCTCATTCAGTATAAAAATGTTTTATTTCCCTCTTTCCTTTATCATTCAATATGGTGAGAATTAACCATTCTTATCATTAGTTAAATAACATTTTATTTTAATGAGAAAACCTAGTTTCAAAAGTTTCTTTATTGTTCTTAATTGATTTTTGTACTTGGTGTCATCCTAATTGTACTTGGTTTTATTTACAAAAGGCTCTCCACCTGCACTGTGTAGGCATTGACAAGAGAAAGGGACCCCTTGACTGGGATGCGCGGTTAAAGATTGCCCTTGGAGCAGCAAGA